TTATTTGAGAATTTGTTCATTTTCATGAACTTTTTAAACCTTTTTACAAACATGGCCATTTTTTTGTTTTCATCAACCTTATATTTTTTAAACTTCTCTTTTTCTTGGTGATAAGTTGATTTAAGAGTAGTACCATCTTTTTTTATTGTTTTTTGTTCTCTTTTGAGCTTCATTTCATAGGTAAAGAGAAAACCTATGAGTTTATCGAAAAAGAGTGTGTGAAAGTATTTAAACTTTTCAATGGTTGTCACCTTAGCTACCCAACTCTTTAAAAAACTATTTAATATTTTCTTCACTATCTTTACATTTGAATAAGTCTTCCCAAGAGCCTTTAAATCATTAATAATGTTAATAAAATGGTTTGACATTTCACTAATGGTTTTTTCTAATTTCATCTTAAATAGCTCATAATCATGAATGAGCATGTCAATTTTGATTTCCTTCACTTGATTGGTACCTTTATAAATGATGGCTAACTTATTCCAATTTTTTTTTTTTTGCATTTTCACATAAACAAACTCAATTATACTCACTAGATCCCAATGCATAAAAGAGTGTATGCATTGCTTTGGCATTGAATTCAGCCACATTCATATCATTGGTAACCCATTCACTTTCTTACTTGATTATATCTCTATCATCCACCTTTTTCATTAGGATTTGAAGATCATTGGCAATAATTCTTCAAACTTCATAGTCATTCGCTTGAATAAACAATTTCATCATAGTCTTTCAATATGAGTAGTTGTTACCAAAAAAGAGAGGAAGCTTTACAATATAATGACTTTTACCTTCAAGAAATATGGCAATCATTTCATTAGCTATAAGACACACTTCTTGTTACTTACTATATTTGTTATAGCTTAAGGATGGTTACTCTACATTCATCACTATACTTCTTTGAACTATTTTTAGGATTATTCTTAGGTTGTTTAGACCTATAAAAATAGAGAACTAGTTCTACTACTAATTGTTAACTTAAAGACTTGAATTAAACTAAAAGAAGGTGAATTAGTTGATTATAAAATTTTCAATAAATATGAGTATACTAATAATTTTAAAAGTAAAGAAATAGAGATAGAGAATCAAAAACTAAAATTTATAAATGTTTGACCTTTTTTTAGGCATCTATATCATTTTCTTTAACCTCACTTGCCAATGACTCTAATCCACTATGTGTTGAATGTCATAATTTAGCTCATCAAAGCTTTATACAATCAATAAAAAATCTCTTAAGGGTTATCCTCCCTCTTAAGCTCACAATCTTACAATACAAGTTTTAAAATATTTTACAAATTCAAATAACCTCTTTAAGGTTGGGTGTTTTCTAATTTGAAGTACAAATCAAGATTAAAATAATTATCAAGAGAGAAACAAATACAATAGAAGAAATAAGTTTTCTTGGCTCTTAATGCTTGGAGAAGATGGTAAATAAAACTTCTTTAAGGTTGGGTGTTTACTAATTTAAAGTACAAATCAAGATTAAAAAAATTATCAAGAGAGAAACAAATACAAGATGAAAATTTGCACTTTTCACACAGCAAAATGCTCTTTAATGCTTGGATAAGATGGTAAATAGAAGTAATAAGTTTTCTTGGCTCTTAATGCTTGGAGAAGATGGTAAATAAAACCTCTTTAAGGTTAAGTGTTTACTAATTTGAAGTACAAATCAAGATTAAAAAGATTATCAGGAGAAAAACAAAAATAAGATGAATTTTTACACTTTTCACACAACAAAAATGCTCTTTAATGCTTGGATAAGATGGTAAATAGAAGTAATAAGTTTTCTTAGCTCTTAATGACTTGAAATGTGGTAAGAAATCTTTTTTTATGTGTACAGAGTTGAATATAGTCGTTACTTGCATTAATTGTTTAGAGCCTTTACAAAATTTCAAACAAAAATAGCTGTTGTTTACTTTTTGGGCACAAAAGGATTGATTTCTTCATAGAGGGGATCAATTGGGTTAGTTGAAATACAAACAAATTTTTATGTGAAAAGCGATACCCAATCAATCCATAATGGGTACCAATCTATCTATTTGTCAAGTGATTGACCCTCTAGGCTGGTTGATTGATTCCTTTTCATGTTTTGAAACCAATTTTTCATTTTGATTACAAAACCAATCAATCCTTACAAGGTAAGGATCGATCCTATCTTTGAAAACTTGTACTATTTGATCCATACAAGAAATGGATCAATTGGATTTCATCAAAATTTCACAAGACACCTTTTTGGCCAACAAATCAATCAATCCCTTTAAGGATAAGATCAATCTTTTCTATGCAATTTTGGCCAATTTTGTTTTTAAACCATGCCAGATAAATTGAACACATTTTTTACTAGATAAAAAGCTAAAAAAAAAATTCAAATTAAGTTCAAATCATTTTAATTCAATTTTAGCAAATTTTTATTTTTGTAATTTCAAAATATTTTATCAATTTAAAGCTAACATAAATCATTTATTATTATGTACTTATACATTTACTACCATGCTATTATTGATTTACTACTTAGTTTGTGGTTATTTATTACAAAATTATCACAAATTAGATTTGTCACTAAATTATCTATCACTATCCAAATTATCATTGATTTATATTAAATTATCCATAATTAACTATTAAATTATAATTAATTAACTATTAAGTTATTGATGATTTATTACTAAATTATATTAAAAATTCCTTATTTGAGTTTTTTTTCCTTCATCTTCAATGCCTCATTTTTTATTATCTTTTACGGTTAAATTAGTTAATTTTAAAAATATTTCTAAAGTAAAATTGCACTTATAGTAATTAAGTATCTTTTTTATTTGAATTTAAGATGATTTGAATCTAATTTTTTAAACAAAGAAAAATATGCCCTAATTATTAAGTTAATGTTGCTTTGGTGCTTAAGTGAATAATTTAGTATACTATAAATAAATAGAAATAGATGATAAAATTTGACTTAACTTAGTTGATCACTGATCTTAAGTCTAAAATCATACTCAAAATTATGAAAAGTCAAAATTTAAAATGATTGAAATACTAAATATATAATTAAATAAAATTTTATGAAATGAATTTTGCTAATGATTGCCCTTAAATCATTTCTAAATTTAGTTAAATTATAATTTTATAATAATATTTTCATATTAAATATAATAGTAATAATTAATTTGATGAATTTAAATCTTTTTAAACAAATATTAGGTAACCTTAAAAATTTTAATACAACAGTGAAAATCTTTCAACTGAAATAATAGAGATAATAACAGATTATACAATATTTTTTCCTAATAAAAAATTTTCATATTAATTCTAAAACATTTGAAATCAATACATTTGTATATTAAAACATTATATAACACTAATATTATTTATCATAAGAAGAAAATGCAGTTATGCATAACTAGTTAATCTTTTATTTTAATTTTTGCCTAAAATAATTTTTTGTTGGTGTTTCCATCGATTGAATATAATTATATGTTCTACTAATTGAAAGCTTAATTTTTCTTTTATTTTAAAATTTTATTATATATAAATTTTTATTATATATAAATATTAAAATACATAATTAAAAAATAAAATAAAACCCTAGCCTTGTGCTTTCTTCTTAAAATTTCAATTCTCATAATACAAACTTGTTTTTTAGCACCTATATAATTTATAATAATTTTTTTTCAGCATTAATAAAAAAAAATTCATAAATGAATGTAATTTTGTTATGAACACATTTAAAAGATGATTCCAATAAATTTTGTTACACATTGAAAATTCACAAAAAACAATTAATCTTACTTTCACTTAATAATTCTTTATTTAAAATAATTCACATTAGATCATTCAATTATCTATATGACAAAAAAATGAATAATTTAATAAAATTGAGAAAAATTAAATTATCTTGAGATAGAAAATAATAAAGATAAACAATTCTTATGACAATTTGGTACTTAGCTATCGATAACTCTATTACCTCCAAAATCATCTAATTTTACAAGTGAGAAATCCAATTGAAATGTTCAAAGTGTTAAATAAATCACGTAATGCTAGTTATCAGTAGAAGGTGTGCAATTGATTTATATTTGATTAGTTATTAATTTTTGTTTATGAAAATAATAATTATAAAATTCTAAAAAAAATACAAAATAGAAATTAATTATAGAGATGGCTAAACTATATGATAATATTAAATAATTATTTCAAGTGATTAAAAGGATTTATTATATTATTAATGATCAAAATAATCAACCCATAAAACATACAAACATAAAATTATTAAAATATATATAATTAGTAGATCAATTAAAAAAAATAAAAATGGTTAATGATTTAATTATGTTTATTTTTAATAAATTTATTTATAAACATAAATTAAATGTGCAATTATTTTTACAAAAATAAAAAAACAAACTCCATACAATTATCTTCTTTCCACACACACTAATAAATTTTGATCTCGCTATATTGATATTTTATTGTGTGAAAATTATTTTTGTGTTTTAATATGAGTCTAATTATCAAAAATAAAAAAAATTATTTAAATTAAAATTTATAAAAAAAATTATTAATGATATTTTAATGTATTCTATTAAATGTATTTTATAATTTAATAAAAAATTAAATTTTAATTTAATTTAATTTAATCAATCATTTTTAGAACTTTTAAACCGAATTATAAAAAAAGTTTAATAATAATAAAAATTTCATTTTAATTAAAATTTATAAAAAATTTACATAAAATATTTTAATCAATAAATTCTAATATTTTTAAAATTAAAATTTTAAAAATTTAACTAATTTAATTTGACATAAATTATATTATTAATCTATTTAAATATAACTTAAATAAATTAATAAAAATTATATATTTAAAAGTAATTTATTATTTAAAAATTTATTAAAATTTTTCAATCAAACACTTTTTAAAATTCAAATTCATGGTCTTCGCATTTTCACTGGAGACTATTTTGTATTTGTAAACTGCAACCCCCGTTCCCGTTCCCGTTCCCATTCAACTTTCTTTCTTCTAACTTGTGCCTCCCCAAACACAAATATCAAGTCTTCTTCACATTTCCAACTATACTACACGATATATACATATATACACTATATATACATTTCCAACTATATATACACTATATATTCTAAGACAGTTCCTGCTCCTGCTTCCTTTTTCTCATTATATGTGACAAAGGCAGACGGACAGTTATGGGCTGCTTTCAGTCCAAAACCACCGATCTCCCATCCCCTGATCAACATCCTCCTCCTCTTTCAAACCAACTCAGATCTAGGTCTTTTTCTTTTCTTTTCTTAACACTGAAAGACAATATACATGGAGTATTATTTATTGCCTGATTATGCTTTTTATTATTATTATTATCAGATGAGAACGGGGCGCAGCCGGCAGTGCCCGCATTCAAGGAGTTCGGACTGACGGAGCTGCGGGCTGCTACCAACGGATTCAGCAGCGAGCTCATAGTGTCAGAGAGTGGAGAGAAAGCTCCCAATGCTGTTTACAGAGGGAAGCTGAAGAACAACCGAGTGGTGGCCATTAAGCGATTCTCAAAGCAGTCATGGCCCGACCCTCACCAGTTTGTTAACGAAGCTACTGTGGTTGGGAAAGTACGTCACAAGAGATTGGTGAATTTAATCGGCTGTTGCGCCGAGGGGGACGAGCGCTTGTTGGTCGCTGAGTATATGCCCAATGATACCCTCTCTAAGCATCTCTTCCACTGTATGTCTTTTTCCTTCATTTTGCCTTTGCTCCTTTCTAAAATTTTCTTTCTTTTTCCTTTTTTTTTCCCTTTTAATAGTAAACAAAAACACCACCCTCATTTACTTCCCTCATTTGTTGTATGAATACTGTGGATAATGCAGGGGAAAAACAGCCTTTGCCATGGGAAGTGCGCCTTAGAGTTGCGTACCATATTGCACAAGCCCTTGATCACTGCAGCGCTGAAAACCTTAAAATTTATCATGATTTAAATGCTTACAGAGTTCTTTTTGATGAGGTAAAGCTTTGCTCATTTCCTTTCTACCACGATATTTGTCTTACCTCTCCTTCCACTGCTTTAGTAAATGAGGGATCATTCAACAGGAGATTTAGTAATGCCTTGTTTAGTAATACTACAATATTTCAGGTTGGGACTAGTTTTATTATTATATCCATTGATTTCAACATTCTTTATGGTTCAATTTTTGAATCTTTTGGACATTATGATATGCGGTGACTTCTTTTTAAAATTGGTGGAAAAAGGGCTTCTTTCGTGGTTATGGAACCTTCTTGCTGACTTTGCCCTCATATATGAGATTTAGGTAAAGTTTTTTCATTACATTTAGAATGTCAATCATATATGAGGTTGGCCTCGCATGGCCTTTGTGTTTTGGGAAATCCCAAAATTGATTGTTTCAGCTGGATATAGGAATAGAGAGGGTAGCACTAGAAAATTAGAAATTAAGACCCATCTTCATAAATATTAAATTGCCATGTTCAATGTGTAAATTTATGGATTGATATGTTCTTCATGTTTATGACTTGCCTTTGGAGGCAGATTAGTTGCCAGCATTGACATTGAACTTTTCGGTTTCTTTGCTTCTTTTAACTTCTTTTTATACCAGGATGGTGATCCTCGATTATCTAGTTTTGGACTAATGAAAAATAGCCGAGATGGAAAAAGCTACAGTACTAATTTGGCTTATACTCCTCCTGAATTTTTGAGGACAGGTACATTCTTCTGATTTCACTTGGTCACCTACGGACTGCTATGATTTTCAATTTCAACAAACTAATTTGTTTTCCTTTTTCAATCTTAAAATAAGAAAGAATACATTTTATAGCCCTTTTGAAAGGAAAGGGATGTTACTGAATTGATATCCTTTCACTGCTAATTATTTGAATGCTCGACTCTGCAGGCAGGGTCATCCCTGAAAGTGTGATTTACAGTTATGGAACTGTTCTCCTGGATCTTTTAAGTGGAAAGCATATCCCTCCCAGCCATGTACGATACATTCTATTTATCCAAATTTATTTATTTTTCTTTGTATTTCCCTGCTACTGCTGCTCTTAAAGTTCTTAGTGATGATAAATAGCTTTTCTGATAGAATTTGGATGAATCTATTTTGAGTTTCTTAGCAACTGTTTCTTTGATAATTGAGCTTGGGATTGGAATTCAGTGATGTTGCTGTTCATTAAGAACTACCTGGTGCTGAGGCTTTCGGTGTTTTTTGTGTACATTTGGGAGCTTTAATTAATTAACTCTTATGACCTCCTGCCAGGTTTCCCAACAAGTTGTTAATGCTGGGAGGCTTAGAAAGTGATGTAAGATCTGTAAAATGTTAGCACAGTTCAAAATGTCCTAGCACAGAAGTCCTTAATATCTACTATACTATTCTGGAACAGTCCTATAAGCGATTTTGAGATTTATCTGTCTCATAAGATGGGTCAAGGAAAAAAATGGAAATGCTAACAATATGCACATGCACATATAAACACTAAAGCAGATGTGTCTTGCACTGTTTCAAGGATGGTGCTTACTCTTGTTTATCCTTGGGTGGCCTTATTTTGGGACTGTGTTTCGGGCTTTTTCTTTTGGTTTATGGTGACATTCTGCTTATTTATTTATTTTGGTCTTTGTTCTTATAAGCTTCTGAGGATCATAACACTACAACTGCAGTCAATTTTGTGTATTTCAATTTTAACACTATTACATGACTGTTGATTTTCCAGGCATTGGATTTGATAAGAGGAAAAAATTTATTGTTGTTAATGGATTCTTCCCTCGAAGGACAATATGCTAATGAAGATGCCGGCGAATTGGTTGAATTGGCTTCAACATGTCTTCAGTATGAGTTTAGAGATCGACCTGATATTAAATTCCTCCTTTCAGCTGTAGCACCTCTTCAAAAGCAGAAAGAGGTGAAAATTTCAAGTCATTGAGCCCACTGCCATTTCAATTTTAGAGTGTGATGTATATATGCATCTTGAACCCTACTAAATTAATATGTTCCCATTGCTTTCCATAGGTTGCATCACATATCCTAATGGGTCTATCAAAAACCCCAGTGGTGCAGCCAACTATGCTTTCCCCGCTTGGAAAGGCATGTGCTAGGATGGATCTTACTGCAGTGCATGATATCTTGCTTAAAACTGGTTATAAAGATGAAGAAGGTGCAGAAAATGAGGTTGGTTATGAGTATTTTACTTTCTCAATGTTACAAAATATTCTGTTATTGAGCCTGAAGAACAGATACAAGTTTTGGCTCCTTAATGGGAATCAGTAACGTCCTAAGATAAGTTGTCATCTTCTAAAGGTTTTGTTGGTTTAAAAGTAGTAGGCATTCTTGAATTGAATTGGAGGATATTGTCTCCTTAATTTTTTTTTTCAGCATAGAAATTGTGATTGTTCTGATATAATTGGCTATTCATAGTTTCATGTCCTCTCTCTCTCTCTCTCTCATGGTCTAATTTGCTTGCACTGTGTTATTGGTGAAGCTGTCATTCCAAGAGTGGACACAACAGGTTCAAGATATGCTGAATACAAAGAAATTTGGGGATATTGCATTTAGAGACAAGGATTTTAAAAATGCTATTGATTATTACTCAAAGGTACCTTTCTTCCTCTGGTGGACTTGTTTACTTATCACAAGCTTGATTACTGAGATGTTATATTAAAAAATGAGTTTTTCTTTTTGCATTTTGTTGGAAAGTATTTATTGGCATTTGTTCAATATCCAAAAGGCAATTTAACCGGCTGATATGTTAAGTAGCTATTTCAACTTCCAAGTTCATTTTAGGTACTCAAAACAACTTCATATTTGTTTTAGGTACTATAGAATTGCCCTAGCTTGGTCTCTCTGCTTGGTTCCTGAATTTCCATTCTTCATGCATTTAGACTAATTTCAACCTGTGTTTTGTGTTTTAAAAGTTGATTCATCTTTTCCCCAGTTGGTATCGATGATGTCTGTTCCTTCTGGTACCGTATTTGTGAGAAGAGCCCTCTCATACTTGATGATTGGTCAACCAGAACTTGCCTTGAGAGATGCCATGCAGGCTCAGGTGTGCCTGCCCGAATGGCCCACTGCCTTATATGTGCAAGCTCTTGCCCTGTCCAAGCTTGGAATGGAAACTGATGCGCAGGACATGCTTAATGATGGAGCCTCATTTGAAGCAAAAAAGCAGAATGGCTGGCGTGTCCAAGCAAGCAATCTTAAGCATTGAGGCAGTATCTTTTATTTCTTGATTCATTTGCCTGTGTTTGTCGTGTGATGCTGAGAGCTTGGAAGAAGATGGTGGGTGTGAGGATCATTTTGAGTGGAGAGTCGTTTAATTATGTTGGAGAATAGTTTGACATAAAGAAATGTGTAAATGATAATAAAAATGAAGAAATAATTAGACAAGTGGCCAGCGACTTTGATTTTGGTGGTACTGATTTTCTGCTACAAGTTTGGCTTGGTGGTGGTATGGTTATTTATTTTGTTATGGAATTAAATAAAGCAAAAAAGATTTAAGCAATAATTGGCAATAAGGCGGACTGAAAAGAAAAGAAAAGAAAAAGGTCAAATCTCTTTTCCATATTCAGTTTGTTGGTTCCAAGTTCCGACGCCCGTCCGTCCACCCATCGCTGCTTTCTTTTCATCGTTACTCTGTTGTCAATTACTTACTAGTAGTACTAGTTCTTTGCACCTCAATTTCCTTTTCTACCTGTTTGTTTGTTTAGGGTTCCTTTTCCTGTTTGAATCGCAGCATTTTTAAAGCATGCTTAAAAATGGGCTTTTAGACTTCACTTTAACGGATCTATCTATTCTTTTCCGGTTTCATTTCAACTCTATTTTTTAATATTTTTCTTATAAGCTCTAGCTGCTAATCACCCCATCGCCAATTTTAACAAAACATGCTTGTAAATACTACTACTAAGAAAAGAAAAGAAAGGAAAAAAAACATCTAATCGATTCACAATTATTGGGACACGAATTTCGCTGTTGCAATGCCATGCTTAATGCCGTGTTTAATGGGCTCAGAAGAAAGTCCTGTCTTTTATGTGAAAACGTTGTCATGTCCACTCTGAAATTTTATTTTCCATTGATTTTTAATGATGCGGCAGTTTTGCTTTTGAACATAGTGCATCGGCGTGTGTGCTTGAGAGGGGTCAATCTCTATTTTCTTACACCTTTCTGCTGCCCCTGTTCACTGCTTCTGTATGTTTTTTTCTTCTTTTTTTTTTTTTGCAGGATAGTTTTTCATAGTTTGTGTTTGAAAATATTGGGAAAATCAACTAATGGAAGTCATTTTCTGGAGGAGTTTAGTGAATCTTAAGGGTTTACCAGGATGTTAGATTATGTTTATACGTAAGATTACGATAAAATAAAATAAAATAAAATAATTTTATGTTATATTTGATATATATAAAAATTATGATAAAATAATTTATTTATTAAAATTATTTATTTTTAAAATTTATATAATTTAAATTATTGATATAATTTTTAACGATATAATTAAACATATAAATTTAATTTTATAAATTAAAAATAATTCTCTTGAAATGAAAAATTAAATAATTTTATATTAAAAAAAATTAATTTTTTTTATAATTTTTATCTTTTCCTTTAAATACAAGTCAATCATGTATAAAATGATTATAATCCTATATTATCAATAATTTTATATATCAATTATGATTTTAACATATTACATTCAATCCTTCTGCACTGTACAAGTCCTTTTGTGTTGCTCCTCTCCTGATATCGTTTTTATTTTTTTTATTTTTTATTTTGCATTGAAGTTGAGTGTGTACCAAATAGAATAAACTTATCAGCTACAACCAGAGCTAGCAGATTTTCATTTTATGGATAACAAGACAACCCGGCAAGGAGGGAGCTGAGGAAGTGACACGGGAGTCACTCATTGCTCTCTCTTACTCCGAACCGGACAAGGATGTTTCCTCTAAACTCTCATCACATGATTTGAATGGTGAGAAGCTGGTTGAAGGAATAGATTCTAATGGGACCGAAAAATACAGGCCTCCATTGATCTCAATATCCTATTCCCAATCACCTGACAGTAAGGGCTTACAATCTACACTGAGCGGAACGAAGAATTAGCGTTGACAGTGGATTCTAGTCTCCTCTTTCTTCTCCTTTTTCGCTTCTTGAGAGAGTTTGTGGAAGGGTTTTCTCAAACTCATGAATGGGTGCATGTAATATATTGTCAAATCATGGTCTATTATAATCTAGAACTGTTGTCTTTCTGTGTAATTTATACTGATGAAACTGCCGATATATCCGTTGAACTTTGATTATTTGCCAAATAAATCTCACAAAGACTTTGCAGTCGATGCATGCTTTCTCCTGAACACGTGTCTTCCTCATCAGTTCAATGCATGCTTTGCAAATTCTATTCTTCTCTCATGAGTTTGTGACTGTTGCCCTTGTTAACATTGGCTGCATTAAGGAATCCATGTAGCTCTTCGATACAAATTTCTTTGATGCAAAACGAAATCTGTTGTGTATTGCCGATCAAATTTCTGTGATAGGGTCACAGCCCAAGAGAATTACAGAGAATTTCTCGTGTTTAATTTGCATTGGACCTCGAATAGAACTTTGTCGTGTTACTGTGCGGAGTAGGGACCATTTACCCGTTATGCATTGGTATCGTAATTCCCCGGTCCCAAGACGAAACAAACTTTTATGATATGAGTTGGCTGGCTGCACATGTCTGCCTCCATGTGCCTTCAGTTGGAACTTGGAAGTCGGCATGACTTTTCTTTTTTCGTTGCCTTTTCTTGCATTTTGCAGTTAAGGGCAGAGCAGATGGCCATCAACCCCGGTCTAATGTTCTTGCATTGTCTTTATTTTAGGGAGCCTCCCAGAGAAGAACAAACAAGTACGACAACTTCCTACCCCTTTTTTTTTTTTTAAATATACTTTTACTTTCTTAGTTTGATGCTAACAAACGAGTGACAATCCATGGTAAACACTAAATCTTAATAACCTGATGACTAATATGTCCGGTCATAATCCCATGATCATGTTGTTACTGAAAATTATTCAGGGGTTGGGGTCGTAGCTCTTTAACTCATTTTTTGAATAAATTTTCTCTTTTCAGGTCCCAAAAAGAAGAAATTATTTAAGGAAAGACTGTGTATAAGAGAGGAAACAGAAGAATGCAGAATGCCATGATGGTTGGCTAACTGATCACGGGAACGTCTTTGGCTTAGTAATAATTACTTTCCAGGGTTTTGTGTTGAATTTCATTTCAACCCAGCCATGATGATAATTTCTTTTATGGCTGTAAGAGACCACCAATGATAATAATCAGTAAACCAATATTCTACCAATCTAATACGTGGTTCTCCATTTATTTTTGGAAAGTAGAATATATTAATTGTTCCATTGGTCAACTGTATCTCAATCCAACTCAAGCCTTGCTAATAATTGTTTTCAGAATCCATGAATAAACAAGAATTACAACTTTACTAATATATATACATATATTATATATATATGTATGTATGTATAGCTTACATACGATCACAAAATGTTACAGGCAGTGGATCTAGAGTATAATGCCCAAGCCTCCCAGTGCGAAACAAATTCAGTAACTTAACAGCAACTTTGTTGTAAACATTTTGATCTAATTCTTCCAGAACACAGAATGCCTCCCTTAAGGCTATGAACTGTGCCTCGATAAGTTTTATCATATCATCCTCACGCTCTAGATTACCATCAAAAGATGAAATGCTATCAAAGATAGCCCGACGAACATCATGCACTATCAAGTCCTGCATCAACAATATCTTTTTCTTTAGGTGTTTGTGAGACCCAGAGAAAATAAGCGGAGGTCACTAATCTTACAGATAAATTTCATTTTTCTTGTTTAAATTTCAAAATTCATATGTGCAGAGAATTGTTATGGGATACAGGAATAGCTAAAGCTTGGTGGAGATGTCTGTAAATGCCAATCCAAGCACTAGTTGCTATTTGACAAAGGACCCAGGACAATCATGACCAATGTCAAGCTATCTGTTCTTACCCTGTTATTGAAACAAACAAAAAGGAATGCAAGAATAGCTAAACCTGGGTGGTGATGTCAGTAAATGCCTCAAATTAACCCAAGCACTACTTGATCAATCGTCAGGTCTCAGGACAAGCCCAGGGTCAAGCTCTTTGTTCTCGCCCATTATCAGGGCTCTCCATGAGCACAAGTGCCGCATGGTAGAAATAACTTTTGACACTTCATAACCTAAACACAAGTTTATCATAAGTACATTTTAGTGTAATTACATTTATTAAGCAAGAAATTATGTGTCCCTTAGGTAACATAGACATAGGATTTGTTTACTTTCAAAATAAAAAGCTTACATAGGATTTGTTTACTCTCAAAATGA